AATGGTGTCATTCATCTCTCCGTGTATCTATTATTGATAAGCTGAAGCAAAGATGTTTTCCATTTGACTTCTCTCTGAATTTAGAGATCCATTCAAACTGGACAGATTATCATCATGTTTTAGATAATATACATTTTCAGAAATTAGACCAACCTGTCTGAAAGGAGATATTTATATAGTTACTTATTATTACCATTGTAATGTTGTAATCTATTTGTGTTGTGTTCACTCTTCAGACCTGCACCGGCACTGCCATACAGACCACCAAAGATTCAAAAGGACTGTTGAGCTCTCAACTTCATGGACATGTAGATCTCCGACTAATAGATGGAGACTTTCTTAATTTGCACTAATTTCTGAGACTCTGTTAGACCTTTGGGACAATTGGAAGTGTCACAGAGTTCCCAGCAAAAACGGGGGCTAACATCAAACCTTGATGCTACGCCTCTAAAAGGTGCTTTGTCATCCTTGCTCAGGTACCAGTGAACTATTTATCTATTTAACTATTTAACTAGGATACTACCGGTTTGTGCAAAGAGGACTCTGATGAGGGATGATTCTCTTCGTGGGAAACTCGAGGAAAAGACGAACGCGAGGCGTCATTACGGACACTTCGTTTTTGCATTCTGTGATTGTTTTTATACATTTTCTTCTAAGCAAAATGCTGAAATATAAAGTCTTTTTTATAACTCGTCACGTTGCTTGAATGATCAAAGTGCAAAGCATTTTGTTTTTTGACTTGGATGATGATAAATGGAGATAGAGGACGAGTCGGTAAGTAGTGGCGCAATGTTATTTCTCCAGTTTTTCATTTTTTATCACGTACTGAACACCAAATAAGTCCTCTATGTCCTTGTTGCCTCAGTGCTAAAAAAAAATCTCCTATTTTCGTGAAAATACAGCTATTTTCTTCATGAATCATCTAAACGCTGGATAAAAAGAATTTGATTCCCTTTTAAGACGTAGGCTACATTTTTATTGTGGCATTAATCCGCTCACTTTACAGTCTGTGCACCAGGCTCTTTTATTCCTTATAAGTTCATTTTTGCAGGAAAGTACAAAGAGGAAAGTAATTTTCACACACCTCAGCCTGCCTCTGACATACTGCTCGGGGCATGCGTTGGACTCTAGACATGTTTTCTCCTGATACTGGCAAGTGCTGTGGAGTGTCAACAGACTTGACAGACTGACTGTGTTCCAGAGAATTACACCACCGCCGAATGATTCAACATCAATACTGGCGTTTGTATGTTTAACGTTTGCGCTCACCTCGTCCTTGAGAGGGCGAGCCAAGCCGGATGACGCCACGAGCTTTCCAGCGAGATGTTTTACCGTATCCGTCCTGTTCTTTTTGTTGCTTTCACAACATTCCTTTTGGAGTTTCTATGACTTCACTGTTGTCGAACGCCGAGCTCACTCACTCATTCACAGCGGCGTTCATTGCACCCCAGAGCACGAGTCAGGCTCTTTTTCTTCTTTTTTTCTCAGTGTTAGTTGTTGACTTGAGGGATTCAATTGTTAACTTCACAGCGCAACGTGTCAGTGTTTGCATAAGGCATTTTGTACTTGCAGTGTTTCCGAATGCAGTGCTTGTTCAATCGCTGCTGCAGAATAACTGAAGCCAGTCACGCCCTGCATACCTGCATTGTGTTTTTGTAGTATCTAAATGATGCTTTATTTCCCTTGTTTTGGATGTGTTCAGATGTGTTCAACAGTCACCGCTCTGCTGGAAAATATGTCTTATTGCTGTGTCAATTAGCTGTTCAATGTTTATGCCATCTGTAAAAACCTAAATGTACTGTTTATTCAATTTTAAGTGTAACATGTTTAAAAACCATTGTAAAGTGTAAATGTCAGTTTTTCTTTCTTTTTTTTGTTGTTGTTTTCTTCTAAATTTTTTTAAAGCACAGAAATGTAAAGAACTGCTTTGAGACGTTGCCACTATTACATTAGGAGGTGAAAACATGGTGTTGGACGATTTCCAACGTTTTAACAGAATGACAAAGGTGTCAGGATTACATTTAAGCTGTGAGAAGACATCAGAGCCAATTAAATGTCCCCTGTTTACAAGACGGTGTTTTAATTTCATTCATACTTTGATTTATGACTATAAGAATGCAACACACCACATTAAAATCCACAAAGAAGCCACCATGACCAATAAGGACGATGCAATAAACCGACTGACCAACTAGCAACTGAACTGCCTTAACTTTTCATGGCGTAGATTCAGCAAGGTGCTGGAAACATTTCTCAGGTATTCTGATCCATATTGACATGACAGCATCGAACAGTTGCTGCAGATTTGTCTGCTGAACATCCACAAAATTAATCTCCTGTTCCACCACTTAAAAGTGCACTTAAAAGTGGATTGAGACCGTGGTACCTGTGGAGAACTTTTGAGTACACTGAACTCACTGTCAGGTTCAAGAAACCACTTTGAGATGATGTGAGCTTAACACGGCATGGCGCATTAACCTGCTGGGAGCAGCCATCAGAAGACGGGTACACAGAGATCATAAAGGGATGGACATGGTCAACAGCAATACTCAGGCAGGCTGTGGCATTTAGGACCCAAAGTGTGCCAAGACATTAAACCTCCACCAGCAGCAGTCTGAAGGGGTCATATGAGGCAGGATTGATCCATGTTTTCATGCTGTTTATGCCAAATTATGTTCCTACCATCCAAATGTCGCAGTAGAAATTACAAGACTCATTAGAACAGGAAACATTTTGCCATTTTTCTACTATTGTACAATTTTGGTGAGTCTGTGTAAACTGTAGCCTCAGTTTCCTGTTCTGAGCTGACAGGCGTGGTAACCGGTGCGGTGTTCTACTGCTATAGCCTATCTGCTTTAAAAGGAGATGTTCTTCTGCAAATCTTGGTTGTAACCAAGTTAGTTTTAAAGCTAAAACTAGATGTGAAAAAACCATTTTAGTTACATAAAATAAAAATAAAAACTAAACTTGAACAGCCAAGTTTGTGAATGCAATGACTTGAGAACAAAGCGACGTAGGAGTTTAAAGCTGATACCATGGATGGTTTCTGCTAAAAACCTCTGGGAAGTTTGAATTTCGTTTACTTTAAAATGTCAGAGATCACATTTTCTGAAAACTGATGTAGGATTTTGAAATCAATACCATAGTTGTATCTATTTTTTAGTATATTAAAAAAAATTGTAATTTTTATTTTTACAGTTTTATTGCAGCTTGCCCGATGAGCCTTTAATGGAAGTGTTTATTGAGATTTTGAACGCGTACAAGACTGTGAGTGAACTGCTTTCAGAAAGGTCTGTTTTTATTTATTATGCCCTGCTTACAATACTAATTAAAAACTACTAAAACTAAACATTTTCAACATTGAAAGCTAAAATTAAACTTTTTTTATTATTCATTATGATTTTTAAAAAGATTGAAAAAACTCTGGTGGTAACAAGCGGTTATTTGAGTTGCTCTTGTTGTCATTTGGACCTCAATGCAAACAAAATATATTTTCTCTTTTCCGCACCATTGTGTGGGAAACTCCTAGTAAATCATCGATTTCTGGAATACTCAGGCCGGCACTAAAAAGCATCACCTTTCTGATGCTCAGTGTAAACTTCGGGAGGTCATTTTTACCATATCTGCATACCTAGATGCACTGAGTTGTTGCCATGCGATTCACTGATTAGATATCACTGCATTAGAGAACCCTTGAACAGGTGAACCAATAAAGTGGCTGAATATATTACTCTGATGAAAGCAGCAAATATGAAAAGAAAGACATCAAATGTCCTTTCTTTTATTTTTCGTTCTATTAAGCAGAAATCTGTTAGCAGGGTTTCTTTGTGTCACTTAAAGGAGCAAGACTGAGATATGGCTCATTTTCTCAGTGACGTCTTTTATGCAGGTCCTTTCAGGTACCTCATGAAGTCCTGCACTGCTTCAGCAGTTGATCTTAGTTGTTCAACAGTGCCACCTGCTGGAAAACATGGCTCATTACAACAACTGCAGCGCCTCCCTCTCTGGGGTTCAGCTCGTTATCTTGCCATAATGTGCTCGAACTACAGGCTGAAGTTGATTAAAGGTCAGCTCCCCCAGCACTTGTTAACACCACTAGTTATTTACAACCCTTTCCCAACCTGCCAGAGACTGTAAGTCAGTCTGCTTTGAGACTGGCAACCCCTGCAATCTCTAAAGTAGTCGCCTAGAGTGGTCACAGGACCTAATTGCAATCGGTCACCAAATGCGAAACAGTTCACACAAATCACTGGACATCAAGGTTATTTCCTGGTTGCACCGAGCTCCTCAAATTTCCTTTTTTGTCTGATATATAAATTTGTTTTCTTTTAATTTGGAAAGTTTGGACCTATTTAAATGCTGACTGCAGTGTTGATCTTTGTAGAAATGTCATTTCATGTATGTAAAATGTAGCTAAAATAATTATATGTGGTTTATTCAAGATTTTTTTTCAGTTGATTGGTTGGTTGCCTTTCAAGAAGTTAAAGATTAAAGCCAAATGATGAATAGCAGTGATCCAAATCATTAGACCCATATTTCAAAGATCTTTTTTAACATTTTATCTTAATAAATTTGTAGTGCTTTTCCTTACAGTTAGTGCAGTTTTAACAATGTGAGACAGTAGATTTGACAGAAGTAGGGCTGACTGCTTACGGTTCTTCATTTGATGGCACTTTTGTTCATTTAATTTGAGTAGGATGACCACTGATGAAATCAATTTCTAAATTACACCACAGTTGATAAATAAATGCATTTTAAACTGCGCACAAGTTGTGATCTTTGTGTCGCAGCCAGATTTCATTGTAAACACCAGACCACTCTGAATCTCTGCCCACAGATCTGTGTGTGTGTGTGTGTGTGTGTGTGTGTGTGTGTGTGTGTGTGTGTGTGTGTGTGTGTGTGTGTGTCATCTGTTGGTGTCCGCACTTCTGTGAGATTAGTGGCCACATGACAACACTGGGCTGGCCGCCTAGTGAGCCTTTCATTTGGCTTCACTTGCGGAGGCGGGCTGAGTGCTGTCCAACAGTTTACTGAGAGCTGGAGACCTACAAACTCAATTTCTGTGGCTCTGTAAATGAAGTGTAAACCTGACAGACCCAGAGCCTAGTTGTGATGGCGCAGGACGTTACAACTTTAACTGGAGAGGACTATTTAGAGGGGAAATCACCCTGTTGTTCAGACACAGGAGCTTTGAACGAAGGAGACAAAGAATATGACGACATCTTGGAGCTTAATCAGTTTGATGGACTGCCTTATTCCTCCAGGTTTTACAAACTGCTGAAAGAAAGGAAGGAACTGCCAGTGTGGAAAGCAAAGTGTGAATTCATGGACACTTTGGCCAAAGAACAGTTTGTTGTTGTCAGTGGCTCTGCCAAAACTGGTAGGAGCTCTCAAGTGAGTACTGTGGGGTATTCAACACTTCAGCACTGGATGGTTTTTCTTTTTTTTACAGCAAGACATTTAAGTCATTTTTCTGGAAGCATCTGTAATGTAAGCAATTTGTCTTGTTGATCTTACTCTGAAACAGATACCTCAGTGGTGTGCTGAATTCTGCCTGTCAGTCCAGTTCCAGCACGGCATGGTGGTTTGTACCCAGATACATGCACAACAGGCTGTAGATCTCGCCCTCAGAGTGGCTGACGAGATGGATGTCAACATCGGTCACGAAGTTGGGTACAGCATCCCTCTTGAAAGTTGCTGCACTACTGACACAGTCCTCAGGTGTGGTACAGCAGCACTTCCTACGTTTCCCACTTTATACATCCAATGTTTCTTTCTCAGAGTCTTTCTCTCAGCATGGCGGCTATAGTAATGCACGGTCATGACACACAAAGCTAAATCACCCCGCCTTTTCTTCTTCTCAAAGGGGAGGTGAACAAAAGGCTTGAGAGGCTCTTTTCAGCAGTTCGTCCACAGCTGCCCGGCTCCCCGTCTCCCCATATGTCACACTCCCTCATGTGGGTCCCTCATAGGTTAGCTAGGAAACAATGAAACTAAGCACATTAAGGGGAGGGAGACAAGATAAACAGGCACCCGGCAAGGATCCCCCTCCTCAGACTAATTATTAGAGTAAATTACACTAATGGCAGCAAAGCTGAAGTGTAGACAAAGTGTTTTTCATTAAGTTTCCACCTTCAGGGATGCTGAATGGATTTTCTTTTAACATACTGGTTTAAGCATGCAGGCTTACATTATAGAAAAGATTAATTTCATGTTATATCAAAATAGATACAGTGTGTCTGTGCGTACATTTACTTGCTCTTTCCTAATGTCAAGCATCATTTTATGGCCTTTTAAAGATACTGCACGGATGACATGCTTCTGAGGGAGATGATGTCAGACCCTTTGCTCGCACACTACGGTGTTGTGGTCGTGGATCAGGCCCACCAGAGGACTGTAGCCACTGATGTTCTCCTGGGTCTGCTGAAGGACATCGTCCTGCAGAGGCCAGAGCTCCGTGTGGTCCTCCTTACAGCTTTCCCACCCAGCCCCAAGCACCTGGCCCACTTTACCGGGTCGGCAGCGCGTTTGATTCACCTGGAGACCACGGGTGCAGGGGAGGTGGTGTACAGCAGCACAGGCGACGGCTATTTCTGCTCTGCTCTCCGTCTCGTGCTGGAGATCCATCGCTCCAGAGAGAAGGGGGATGTGGTTGTGTTTTTGGTGACAACGCAGGTAAAAAAAAACCCCAAAAAACCCAAAACATCACCGCATGACCAGTAGATTCAGAAGCCTGAAACTAATGCACGTCTTTCTCTGATTTTCCTTTTTGTTAACTCTCTACCAGGAGATAGATCTGGCCCACAACATCCTGTCCCATGAGAGGAAGAGCTTACCCATCGATCTGGGTGAGCTACTGCCAATAGCTGTGCACCCTGGGCAGCCTGGGAGTCTGCCTGTCCTGGGGGAAGAGGACACCAGCCAGACCCGCCGAGTGTTCCTCAGTTCAAGCCCAAATGAGGACTTTTTCTGGGCTGTTAACTCGATAAGCTTTGTTATTGATGCCGGGCTTGAGAAAAGATATGTAAGTTGGTTGTTATTTGCATTATTTAAATCAGCACTTACATGAAGGCTGATTTCCAGGGTTAAAAATTACATCGCTGATGCAGAGACCCAGTTGCTGATTAATTAGAGAGTTTCATGTGTTGAAAAAGCAGAGATTTGAATGCATTGTGTGGGACTTCCTATGCAGAAAGAAAATGAGAGAAGTCTCACAAAAAAATGTTAAAGCTTAAGCTTTGGTCTGGAAAACAAGGTACATCTTATATTATAGCACAACACAATAGAGACAATAAATCAAGTTTTAATTTTAGCCTCTTGTCAGTGTTACATAGCATGTGTTGTTTGGTTTATACCAGCTTTGACATGTGAAGATAACAATTTAAATCATCAGTCTTTCTCAAATTATTTTTTAGATACTTCTTTGTTATTTGGGGTGAAAATATTTGCCATCAAAATGTAGCTTCGTTAACTTAAATCAAGGTTAACAGCCCGCTGTGCTGTTGCAGGTCTACAACCCCAGGATCAGAACAAACTCAGTCATCATTCAGCCTATCAGCACCGGTCAAACCGAGAGTCGAAGGCAACTGGCAGGTCCGGCAGGTGAGAAGTTAAAATGCTACAAAATCTGTGGCTGCTACTTCACTGCAGCTGTCCCATCTAAAAAATTATGTTTGCTTCCTGTAGGCAAGTGTTTCCGTCTGTATCCAAAGGATAGACAACTTCCTACTCAGATACGCCCGCATATTGTGGAGTCTGACATCACATCCACTGTGCTGTTCTTGAAGAGGATGGAGATCGCCGGACTGGGTCACTGCGAATTCATAGACAGACCAGGTGAGCTCTGCATAAAATGACTGTAGAAAAACTGATTTTTGTCTGAACCATTGTTCCCTAACTTAATTAAAAATTCGGGTTCAGTCAGTTCTTTGCCTTTTGTTCCAGCACACAGGAACTTTTTGTATTGGAGGGCAGTGAGCCATGCTTCAGCTAAACTGACAGCTCCTGTTCTGCGTGCATCCTTTTAGAGCTGACCTGCTTTCGTTTGCTTTTGTTCCCCCGGATTTATTCACCCCCACAAACACACAAACACACAGACACTGAGCCTCACATTAGCTGATTAGAGCACAGACATGGCGGAGTTGGTATGAAGGACAACACAAGATAATAGACAGCTGTGGTTTCATAATTTTTCCCTTCCTCTCATTTTGTCTTGAGGTCCGTGTTTGTATTTCTATAGGGGAAAAAATGCATTTGTTTAAAAAAGAAAATAAAAAATAAATAAACAGCTTTATTTTGCATAGTGATACACGGCAGATGTTGGTGAAGATTATAAAATCCTAATCTGCTGCTGCCCATTCACTCCAAGCATTCCCACTGGGGTGCCAGTACACTGTGGGGGGCTGTCCTGGTGCTTTGGATTACTATCTGGACGGCATGAAAAAATGGCACACAACACTTTTACTCAACATGTATTTCAATGTAATTAATTATCTCATATGTTTTTTTTATGGTGCTTAATCCAAAACACTGTCCAACCCAGATCCTGCAGGCCTCATGCAGGCTTTGGAGGAGCTCGACTACCTAGCAGCTCTGGATAATGACGGCAACCTGTCTGAGATGGGCATCATCATGTCTGAGTTCTCATTGGAGCCACAGATGGCAAAGACCGTGCTCGCCTCCTGTGAGTTTGACTGCGTCAGCGAGGTGGTCATCATTGCTGCTATGCTATCAGGTAATGTGACTGTGTGGCTTTTTAGCACAAATATGCTATAAAGAGTCATGTAGATCTACAAAACCGTGCTTTGCTTTTTGTTTTTGGATTCTTTTAGCGCCATCTTGCTTCATGGTTCCTTCTGTGGAGCTGAAACCAGAGGCGACCCAGTGCTACATGAAGTTCCAGCACCCAGAGGGAGACCACTTCACCCTGATTAATATCTACAAGGCCTTTAAACAGTGCCAGCAGGATCCATGTGAGTGAGCAGAGCATCGCCACGCACAATCTCATAATGTTTATACCAGTGATAAGTTTCCTACAGTTTAGACCAACGGTGTCAAACATAAGGTCCAGGGGCCAAAATCAGCTCGCCAAAGATTCCATTCTGGCCCACTGAACATTGTTGGAGCATGTGAGGAAGGACATGAATTTTAGACTTTTTATTGCATTTATATAAGTTTTACAGCTTTTCCTACATGGCAGCTTATACAACACTAAAAGTAAAAAAGTAATAGATAAACAAATGAATAACAGAAAGATTCTGGTGTTTTTACCATCTACTATAGAAATTTGGGATTTTTACAGTGGGTTCACAGTAAAAGTTATGAATAATATAAAATTTTAAAATGATAAAAAATTATAAAAATGTAAAACACAGCTTTCTATTAGACTGTGTAAAATGAGCTGACATGTTTTTTCTGTAATATTACACATTTATTTCTTACGATTACATTTTTTTAATCAAGTAGAAAAAGTGAGATTTATTTTTGAAACTGCACGTCTTTTTCTTATATTAAAATATCGCCTGGATTAAATGTGTAGTTAAACTTTTTTACACTGACAGAAAGAGGTGTTTCACTGGTTTGGCCCATTTAACATCAAAGTGGGCTGAACCACAGTGTAAGATGAGCTCGACTTCCCTGGTTTAGACAGTAGGCAGAAAAACTAAACACATGGCAGTTTTAAGAGTTTAATTACTGCCACCGATTCAGTAATTCAAACCCATCTTCCTGTTTTGTCAGACTGTAATATAGAGAAGTGGTGTCAAGACTTTTATCTGGACCACAATGCTTTGTTGATGGCCGACGGGATTCGCAGTGAGCTCACCGACACCCTGAAGAGGATCGAGCTGCCCATTTCAGTGCCTGCCTTTGGTTCCCGAAGTAACACGGTCAACATTAAGAGAGCCCTCTTAGCAGGTTTCTTCATGCAGGTCAGAAAATGTAATTTATTAGCGTCCATCCTCCCATTTTCATTACTGCTTTTCAGAGTCAAGGTCACAAGGGAGGTAGGGAGAATCCTGCACCCATCCATGCACACGGCCATATTGGAATAAACTGTTAAGTTAGAAATCCTGTTTTCTTGTTGTTGTTTTTTTATTCCAGCCCAAAAAGCACAGCAACTGTATTCGATCTGCAGTGAGAATTTAAATACTCTGCTTACAACAAACACCCACAGTCCTTCTAAAGACTCTTAAAAACATTAAACTCTCCTGAGTGGAACTAATGGCAGCATTATGAAGGGTGTTTTAATCATGTGTAATTTCACTCAGAGTTTAGTCTCCATAATTAATGGTCAAAGAATGGGGCCCATTTCGAATATTAATGCATTTCCATTTATTTAGCATGTAGGTGATTAAAGACATGCTGAATAATTTGCTTTTTATGACTAATTTAAACAATCAAAGCTGACAAACATTATCATTATATTATTTAGCCCCAACAGCTTTACCACCATGTTGCCTTCAGCTTTGAATACAGATTTTGACTGATTAATTAAAGACTTCACTGGTTTGCATCTTCGCTTCTTTGCACACTAACTTCAGTTATTGAACTTAGCTGTATTTATTTTTTAATTCTAACCACACACTTCAGTTGCGTTCATCACGTCGCTTTGGCTCGAGCTCACATTTCAGCTTCTGTCAATCTTAACACCTCATCAGACTCTTTAACTCCTCGTCTTTAAATTTGACTTCACTCACTGCTTATTTAACCGCCCCTTCCCTTTCAACGTATTTCCATATTTGCATATAGACTGCCAGATTGTGAGTGTGAATTCAGCTTTTTTGTGTGTCATTTACTATGGTTTTTATTTTTAAAAACTGTATTATTTAAAGGTAAAAATGACAAGTATGAAATCACATCCTGCACCAACTCTTTTTCCCAGGTGGCACGTGATGTGGATGGATCTGGGAACTACTTTATTATAACCCACAAGCACATAGCGCAGATCCATCCTCTGTCTGGCTACGGAGCCAAGAGTCCCAAGCTGGGCCTGCCTGAGTGGGTGTTGTTCCACGAACACTCCTTTTCAGAGGACAACTGCCTCCGCACCGTAACCCACATAACACCACAGGAGTAAGTCTCAGCCTTGTTTCCATTTCCTTCCTTTAACATTTTCATTCGTTGACTTCTTTAACATTTGCATAAATGACTAGATGCAGTTTTTTTTTTTAGACCACCCTTCTGAGGGAGGCTTAAATGTAATCAGATGGACACATTCCCCTTCCCCTTTGAACCGTATGTATTTAAAGGCCTAGTTCAGCTCAGACTGGTCATGCTGGTTGTGGAGGGAGGTCCTATAATCCTGCTTTCTAAGTATCTGCTAGTTGAAGAAGGGATTATGGATTGCACAGATCTCTAAGAATGTGGAGCTGCAGCTTAATGGAGGGAGAGAAAGCTCTATAGCCTTTCTCATGCCGTCTTACGTTTCACATCCTGAGCATGTGCAAATCCGTTCACTGTAGCTCGAATATGAGGAGCAGACACACCGTAAGTCTTCTTTCCAACAAAGGCGTGTGCCGCTCAGCACTAAATGAGATCGAAAACAGCTTTGCAAATTGAAATTAAGTTTGCATTAGTTAAATTCATCACAAATTAGAAGGTCTACAGTTGTTTTTTCAGTGCACAGAACACTAAAATATTCTCTCCTTCGTTAGGTTCATTCAGATGGCACCACAGTACTTTTTCTACAACTTACCATCGAGTGAGAGCAAAGACATCCTGCAAAACATTTTGAACCACGGGGCTTCTCAGTACCAAGAAGAGAAACCACCAGCAACACAAAAGGAATCCCATGAGGATCAGACTTCTGACCGCTGTGTTATACAGTGACTGATGGAGCCACTGTTTCAAGTTTTGCACAATATAGTACAGAAAGAGACTGGATCATCAAGTAAAGAATCCTATAATTGTATTACTTTTTTGTGGCACAGTTACTGTGCCCTAACCCCCAATCCCAATATAGTCTTTGTATGTTATATTTGATTAGCTATACAAAATGAACTAATATATGAAATAAAAATATTGCTCTTTTTAAGCCCTGATTATTCGCATTTATACGTGTTCAAGATTTTTTACATTGCCATCGAGTCCTTTAAAGATTTTCTGACTTCCCTTCCTCCTCATCTCTCTTCAGCCATCAGACAGATAGCACTGTGTCCCCGGCCTGATTAATGAGTTGCAGTAGCAGTCTGGACATGTCTGCAGCTCCATCTGGTGTGAATATAGCTGACACCAGAGGGCTGACCCAGTTCACTGACACCACAGTGAAAACATCTTTCACCTCTTTGGTGGGCTTGAACAGCGCATCAAGGACGGCTGACCATAACCCACAGGGTGCCATGCTGCCTTGAAAATTGCAGGGGCTAGTTTGATGGCAAAGCACACTGTACTTTTTTTTTTTTTTTTTCCCCCCCAGAGATACAGTACTTTTGCAAACTGGTGTTAAATGCATATCGTTAGCCAAGCAACATTTTAAGAGAAACAATATATCACAGTATGAAATTCAAAAACATTTTATTATTATCATCCCACAGCAAACCATGCTGGTTTAAAAACAAACCAAAAAAAAAAAAAAAAAAAACCTCAACAGCACTGTGGACGAACTAACCTCTAAAGCTTCCACTGTATGCTTCCAATTTATTGCACATTCTAGTTTTTGGAAAAGCAAATAACACGTTTTAGCTTATTTAAGCCTGTCACACATCAGTTTATTTTATTCACAGCTTCACTGGCATTATTGAATATCAAAAACGCCAATTAAATTGAAAAGAATATTTTGCTAAGCTTGTTATTTTTAAGCTCCTTTGTGTTGCATTTACATTTGGTAATAACCGCTTTTAAATTGTCATCACATTTTTTTTGTGTCTGTAGAAAAAAATAAAATAATAATAATTTTAGATGTTTGGTACAGTCATAAATGCGTAAGAGCTTTAGAAGTGACCTAAAACTAGCTAAGCCATCATAAAATTAAATAATAGCATCTGAATTTACAAGTCTTCACAAAAATGTACAGTTTAAAACCTGTGATGCAAATGTTAGAAAAAGATGAAGGCGCTGGAGGTGAAGTTAGCCTTGAGACTGTAATTCAGAGTAAGACAGGTTGCCTGAGTGTTTGCCTGTTATTGTGACTACGAGCCATTATTTTATATCATCGCATCTTTGAGGATGTCAAGTCTTCTCCAAAATGTACCCTGGAAGTTCGGCGAGGTCCAGAGAGCAGAGTCAGATTCTTGAGCGTCTTCCTTGTTATGGCTTGCGTGTGCCTGTGTCGTCACTTCCTGTCCGCTGCATCAGCTGCTGCAGGAGCTCAACGTAGAGTTCGACGCGGCTGACAAGAGGAGCGTTTTTCTCAGCACGAAGCAGCTTGGAGTATACATTCTTATAGGTTTTCAGCAGCTCCTCGTCCTTATTGCTGCAATAAAGATGAAAGAGTTCAAAATGGCAGATGAAAAAGTTGCTTAAATTCACAATTAAAGTTTGATCCAGTCCCAATGGGTTTCTTTTATTATTTTATGGCTGTTTTACAGCAATAGCTTCTTGCCATCTCATGATGGTAAGCAATAAGGCAGTGACATTAAAGACTGATATTAAAATAAAGGTCTGTGTAAAATTTAAGTAGATATCCTAACCAGCTTTCATACTGGAGCTCACCTTGGTTTACGTTTCGCTGTCGTCATCAGTTTGATCACCTGCAGGAGCAGGAAGGAGAAACTGGGCTCAAATACACCAATTAACTTCATCACTTCCTGGAGGTTCAGTCCTGCCATTGGGCCATTGGCTACGTCGGAAGACTCTGCTGACTCAGCAGAATCTGGTTCATTCAACTATGGAACAAGAAGTAGAAGGAGAAGACTGTATGTTACCAAAGCTTTACAAATTCAGTCATTTCCACCAAGTTATTTTTACTACTCAGAAGAATTTAGCTGTAATGGGGTTACTGGGGCTTCATTAACATAATATACACTCATTCGATTTATTAAATGGTCAGAAAACACTTAGATTTTTGTTAAATAAGGAATTTGAAACTCCCTGCCTGTGCTGTATGCTTAAGTGCATAAATCACACCCCTGAGCCAGGAAAAATCCTCCATGAGCTACTGTGAAACTCACCTCTGTCTGCTCCTCCTGTAGTTCTTTATGAATCAGCTGGAAAGCATGGCGGGTTTCTGTCATGATCTCTATTGCCCCAGTCAGGCTCTTCAGCTTAGCTGTGCTGCTGTTCTGACCTGTGGACAAACAACATGAAGAATTATCAAAAGAGGCTTTGAAAAGAAACACCGTTTTTCCAATTCAACCCTCATCTGACAAAAATAAAACAAAACATTGCAGCCAACATTTTGATAGTCATCATAATGAATAGCTGCGCACCTGCCATCGTAAACTCAGCAAAAGCCACCCTCTCCAGCAACGTGCGGAGCAGCTCGCAGGGTGCGTCTTTGAGGCTGAGGAATAAACTGACAGCCTTGCTGTAGTGAAGCTCTGCCAAGCTCCGATGCTGCTTTCTCAAGTGTTCATCCCCCACCTGTCACACAATTACAGCCAGAAACACAGACATCCATCAGCTCATTATACCGCTACAAGTATAAAGACAGGCAGCGTATCCCACTTCTGTTCTTTTCTAGTCAGCGTGAACGTCGTTTCCTTACCCAGAGTCACATATTTTATTTTTGGCATGCACAAAAAGCATTGAGCCAAGAAATGCCAATTATTAACACAAAGAGCATCCAAGACATTGGAAAGGAGAATGGTTTTCTACTGTTCTATAATTTTACATAACTTCCCACCTGATTGCGAAAACAGCTGTGGTACATAGAAGCCAAGCGGTGGTGGATGGTGGCGGCTCTGTACTGGTAGAGTGGCTGCCGAGCAGAGTCAGTCTGCAGGTCGCAATACTTGAGAGACTTCATCATTGCTTCGGTCACCTCTCGCTCAATCTGGTAAGACAAACAGGAATGGATAAATAAAAAATTACTGTGTATGAAAAATAAGAAATAAAATGTACTTGTAAATGTGATCAAAATATGATTAAAACACTATTTATTTACTTTCATGGCTGAGAAATGATGATATCAGGTATAATACAATATGATAAAAACAAACAAACAACAAAACAAAGCAGATAAACAAAAATAACCCCCCCAAAAAAATCTTGTCCTTGCTTTTTTTGGCGAAATGAGGAATTCTTTCTCAGCTGCAAGTGTGAGAGATTCAGCATAGCAAGGATAAAGCTGTAAACTGAAGTGCTACCAACAAGAGTGACTAATGGACTGAAATCATTTTCCAGCCAAAGATTCACTATAATGATTATTCAAGTGGGGTGTGTGGTGTTTGCTGACCCAATTCATGCACAGTGTGTGTCCCTTTATCAGCGCAGAGTCCTGACATGGTCCTGACACAAAAAGGCTACAAGTCAGACAAGTAGACCAAAGTGATCTGATAACAAAGGGAAGGTGTCCACACATGCATCATTAGCAAAAGAGGGAGAACTGCAGTGCATATAAATTGCATGTACCGTGTAAACTAGCCAAAAATATATGCAAGTACGATTTTGATATCCTTAATAATGTAAAATGTGTTAAAGCCTTAATATTCTACCTAGCTCCAAATGTGTTGAAACCCACCTGTTCCTGGGCCTTCCTGGATACTGGGGCATAGTCCTGCAGAAGGGTGGCCAGTGTGAAGTACGTAGTGGACAATTCCCAGTTTACACTGTCCCACACTGCTGAGTGCTTCTCTCTGCTTGACAAAGCTTTCATGGCCTGCAGGTAGTAGTCTATAGCCTGAGGTAATATTGCAAAGATAGTATGATTAGGCACAGTCAAGATGCAGTGAGACAGATGATTGAAAAAACAAAAAAAGCAGAGTGTTAGTAAGAACACTTAATCAAGAATTTAAGAAAACGTCAGCGTGGCACCTTGTTGTAGTAAAGAGCCTCTTCAGGTGAAAACTCTCCTCTGCCTTCATTGCCAGAGAGGTTACAGTGGGCCTGGGCACAGATTCTCATCAGCCTGCCAGTATTACACAGCAGTAAGGCTGTGTTAGTGCTGTCCCCAATGGCTTCAAAGTCCTTCATCCCTTTCTCAAAGAAGCCAAAGCTCTTTTTCCACATCTCCTGCTCTGCTGCAGACACAGACTTCTTCACTAGAAGGGGAACAGGAGAATAAAAATGCTGGTGATATACTACAAAAAAAACAAAAAAAAAGAAAGAAAGAATAACTCTCGCCGTGCTCTTTTAAACAAACTGCATTTGCTGTAATGTAACTTACCCTCTTTCTCAGCCTGCATGGCTGCAGCCTGGTTCATGTAATAGACTCCCATCTCATTGCGTATGTTCCCCAGTCGTTTGAGAACCTGACTCAGCTGATCTGAAGTAAGATCTTTCAAAGGCTCAGAGACAAGTAGTTCATATGCTGCCTCATAGCACTTGCTGCTAACAAACAGCTGGTACTCTGGGTCCATCGCTAGGTCTGTTGCCATGCTGAAGGCTAGTAGATAGAGAATAAAAGGAATGGAATACTTTTTAGGACATTTTGCTAAACAATTTATTGTGAATGACTTTGAAGACAGTGAAATATTTAAGACACTGCACACCATTGCAGCAGGAATATCAATATACTGAATTTCTCTTTAGAGACTGACCCTGGCAGCTGCTCTCTCTGTGCAGGCTGTGCAGAATCTCCTGGTCCTCTTTGGTCTGGTAGCTGTATTCCTCCAG